TTTTTTTTTTTTTTTTTTTTTTTTTAAATTGAGTTTATGCTGGACATGGTGATGGCTTGCCTTTCATTTCAGCACTGGGGAGGCAGAGGCAGGTGGATCTCTGATCTACATAGCAAGTACCAGGCCAGCCAGCCAGCCAGCCAAAAGTATATAGAGACTCTGCCTCAAAAACCCAAACCAGCCCAGTGTGGTGGCACAGACATTGAAATCCTGCACTTGGGAGGCAGAGGCAGGTAGATCTCTGTGAGATGGAGGCCAGGCTGGTCTACACAGTAGGTTCCAGGCTAGCCGGAAGTACATAGTAAGACCCTGTCTCAAACAAACAAACAAACCAAAAACATTTATTTGGGTTGTGTGTGTTTGTGTGTGTGTACATATAGGTGTGGAGGTCAGAAGACAACTTTTGAAGTCTGTTCTCTTTTACCATGTGGATTTGGGGAAGGAACTCAGGACCTGTCTCAGCTCTAAATTCATTTACCCACTGAACCATCTCACTGGCCCCTGACTATGAACTATGAGTTCAAATCACAACCCTGGGACCTAGACTACATGACCAGACCTTAACTCTGACCCCCAGGTCCTTACTCCAGACTTCAAGTAGGACCAGAGATCTAGACTTTGGACCATAACCTTGATCCTGACTTGGTTATCAGGCCAATCTTGATTCCAACAGCAAACCCAGACCGGTACATCATAACCTTTAATCTTGGACTTAGGGTAAGGTCCCAGTCCTAGACTCAGACATTGTCTCCAGTCCATGGTCCTAGACCTGACACCTACAATTTTGGATGTCCGAATTGGAGACATAGAACTTCTCACAGGCCACCAAGAAATCAACTGCATTGAGACTCCAGATGTACCCCAGCCCCAACCCCCAGCCCTCCTGCTCCTGTCCCCAGGACTCCTTATGTTCAAAGAGACTTATAGACCCAGGTCATCAGCCAGGACACTTGGGCCAGCATCTGTCCTTGTGCCCCACGTCATCCAGAGATACATTCACGAGAATTTTACCCTATGAGTATCCAAACTTTCCTAGGAGGATACAGGAGTCTCAGAATTGCCTGGCAAAACATCCTATCAGAAGGACAAAAGCTGCAGATCTAAAGGCAACACCCCATCTCAAACTGTCTCCCTTTCAGGATCCCATAGCCCTGTAATCCCAGAGTTTGGGAGGTAGAGGTAGGAGGATCAGGAGTTCAAGGTCACCCTTAGCTACATAGTGAGGTAGAGGCCAGTCTACTCCATATGAGACTGTCTTTAAAAAAAAAAAAACACGGCTAGGGTTCAAGCCATAGTCCATCATACCCAGTAGCAGCAGTACTCAGTCAGTAATGACAAATCAGTTAAAAATATACAACAACTGCGGGGCGTGGTGGCACATGCCTTTAATCCCAGCACTTGGGAGGGAGAGACAGGCGAATCTCTGTGAGTTCAAGGCCAGCCTGGTCTACATAGTGAGTGCCAGGCCAGCTGGGGCTACAGGGAGACCTTGTCTCAAAAAGACAAAAAATAAAACAAAACAAAACAAAAAACTATGCATCTCTCTAGAGTGCCTCTCTTATTTCTAAGATGTCAAGACTCTCGCCAACCCCCACCCTCATCCCCACTCCAACCCTGGACACTTAGAATTCAATCCTTGTGCCAGTTTGTGGGTCAGCAAAGCATGGACCCCCCTCAACTCCATGTGTACCTCTTGGCCACTTTGGATCAGAGCAGCTCAAAGATGGGAAAATCTCAGGGGATGGCATCCCCAGACACTCAAGTCAAAACTAGGCTTCTCTTCCCTGACCCCTGTGTCCACCTCCCCTCTTCCTACTGCATTACCACAACCTCCAGAGAAGGCTTCTTCTGAGGTGAAGACATAAAGCCGTCTGCACCTCAGGATTCCTATGACCATTGCCCTGATGCAGGCTCTGACCAGAATGGCTGTCTTCAAATCCGTATGTGAAGGCACTAATATCTACATTCTACTACCTTCAGGACCTATTGCTTTGATTTGAAAATTGTGTGTGTGTGTATGTGTGTGTGTTGTATGAGTGTGCCTGTGCATATTCATGTGGGTACAGTTGCATGTTATGCATGGGTGTGGAGGCCAGAGGTCAATATTCAGTGTCATTCTATAAGATTTATTCATTTATTTTAATTAATTAAGAGACAGAGTCTCTCACTGGGACACGGGGTTCACCCATCAGGCTAGGCTGACTGGCCAGTAAGCTCCAAGGATCTGCCTGTCTCCACCACCCCAGTGTCAGGATTTCAGGTGTGTGCCACTGTGTCATTTTTTTTTTTTTTTTTTGGTCTTTTTGAGACAGGGTCTCTCTGTAGCCCCAGCTGTGCTGGAACTCGCTATGTAGACCAAGCTGGCCTTGAACTCACAGAGATCTGCCTGCCTCTGCCTCCCGAGTGCTGGGATTAAAGGCGTGTGCCACCATGCCCGACATGTGTCAGGCTTTTTACATGGATACTAGGAATTGAACACAGATCCTCATGATGTTGCAGCAAGCACTTTAGCAATTGAGCCATCTCCCCAGCATCCCTGGTTCACCTTTTGCCTCTGGTGTGCTTTTCAGGATGAGACTCAGACAGGCATTAGTTTTTGATGAGTGAAGGAATGAAATTTGGGGCAGAACAGAGCTGGATGCTACAGCAGGACCAGATGCGCCTCTGACCTCCCCCCATGTTCTGCCCTGACTCTTGGGGACTCCAAACACAGCTCCACCCTAGCCTGGGTTTTCTGGAACAGCTCCTATTTAAAAAACAATTCCGGCTGGGCATGGTGGCGCACGCTGCCTTTAATCCCAGCACTCGGGAGGCAGAGGCAGGCAGATCTCTGTGAGTTCAAGCCCAGCCTGGTCTACATAGTGAGTTCCAGGACAGCTGGGGCTACAGGGAGACCCTGTCTCAAAAAGACCAAAAAACAAACAAACAAACAAACAAAAAACAATTCTGCCTGAAGAACTTGTCAGACCGGAGTCTGAGCTTGGATTTGCAAATGCCAGCCATCCTTTCCCTTCACTACCTGGAAGCCCAGATGGATCACCCCACCCCATAATCCCAAACCCACAGCCCTAGTCAGGCCTTCTTTGCAGGAGCTGGTTTCCCGGACATGCTTCATGGATCCCTGGGATCCAGGAAAGCAGTTCCAGGAAGCCAGAGGCCCAGAAGACTTTGTGATGCCCTGGGCCTCAGGCTGGTCGTTGGGATGGTGCTGCCCCCT